ATCTGATACCGAGGGAAGCATTGACACACCGATGGAATGTGCAAATTTGATGGTCAATGCATGTATTTATGTCTACCTGTCAGTCGAAATAATGCCGAGAGTCTTCAAATATTCAAATTAGCCTTTCTACATTCCTATGGCAACGACCTTTATTTGGTACATGTTGTTTGGATACGATTCGAGAACCTGGATGTGATTCACTGATGTTATGACGATTGAACAATATACTGATAGCTTTGTTAGCTGAGCTATCACAGAGCGGTATATCTATTGACTTAGTGTTTACTGGACAAGTAAATACCCGCGTCGTCATAACACCTAGGTGTTGTCGGGACCCACATAACCGACCCTTACGTACACGTGAGTGACAATCAATAGCAACATCACATGTAAACAGCTGGTATGCAGGGTTTTTTGCCGACCTGCACGTTACTTGTTAACGCGAGAGCATTTCGTACTGATTCCAGGACCGGATTAGATTATTTATATATATATATTATGTAGATATACAAGATTTATGCATGATAACTACATATTCCTTAGTATATACATGGCCGTTGCCCCCCTCCCCCGGCTCTCACAGATCTTACATCGGCTGGTGTTCACATTATAAATCCCTCCATTTTTTGGTTGTGTGTTGTACATGCAGAAAAGTTTTCATCCGGTGAACGAGTCAGAACAAGTCAATTTTCATACGATTGTGAAATTATATCAAACACAATCAATCCAATTTATGGGGGAAAAGTATGATAATGTTATTCAAGTTTTATTTAACATTAATGCATTAGTATGTAAAGCATATTTGTATTAAATATATATTCTAACAAATTATGTACTTTATAACGAAAAGTCTGCTCTACAACTTCAGCGACGTGAACAGGAACCCTTTCTTTGATTTAGATTCGATATTACAATAACTTTAGTAAAAAAAAACACTCCCTGCTTCACGTTTGTACAGACTGCATAAGTATATTGGCACCAATACCTATCGATGGTATTTAACAGGTGACGGACACAGATGATACAGACCATGAAAGAGTAAAAACGTACCTGTGAAATCATTCTTGTAAAATAGTGTTGAAACACATGTCAAACCATACCTGTACACAAACCCATACAAGTAAAACTATCCAAGTAAACCAGTACAACAATTAACTATACTTGTTAAACACTAAAATAATACTGTATCTATGTTATAATCAGGTCGAACGAATATACACACATGTAGGAGAATATGCATTTCGTCAAACATTCGTGTTAACAATTGTTTGACGGAATCACCAGCTGTTCTGAGTTTGAAAGAGGAACCAGACCTGGATTTATCTCGGGTCAGGATGCGATTGTTCTAGGTATAGTACATTGTATTTCGAAAATATGAGCACTCACGGAACGTTGGTCACGAGCTATGGAGTGACGCCCCGGGTGACAAAGAGCGGGAAACGAATGACGAGAATTACACCACAACGGACGAGTACTACACCACGAGTGACGAGAATAACATCACAAGGGACGAGTACTACACCACGAGTGACGAGTGCTTACCTAGAATGACGGGAATAACGTCACTAGCGACGAGTACTACACCACAGGTGACGGGAATTATACCACGAGGGACGAGGGCTTAACCCATAATGACGGGAATATCGCCACGAGGGACGGGAATTACACCACGAGGGACGAAGGCTCAATCACGAAAGACGAAGGTTCAACCGCAAAGATCATGCAAGTACGTGCGGCAACATTTGAGTCTAACATGTATCCCAAGGTTGTCGTGTCGTGTCGTCTGGTTGTGTTTTTATTGAGGTAACGTCAGATCTCTAGAGTTAGAACATTTTGACTTCTGTTGTACGTCACAGACCAGGCCCCATATTCATAAAACCGTTCTCAGCTCAAGTATAGATTTTGTGCTCAAGCAAACTTTCTTAGCAACTTGCTTAAACCATGTAACACAGTAAAAAGTCAAGTGTAAACACTTTTGTTTTTATTTGATCATGGGAACAAGTCATTGGACTTGAAAACAGAAACTGAGTTTGGACATGAGAACGGTCTCATGAATACGGGCCCTGGCCAGGATGATGTTGATGAGAAGCGATGACATGACAAATCGTTGCCAACCCCAGTCTTGACCTCGAAACCAAGATTACTGCCACCAACACTGCAGATGACGTTAACCATCACACAGCGTACAATGTATTTTCACAGACTAATACTAATACACCTATTTTTTCTAAATTAATGGTTCATCTTTGACTGATCACATAACAAAGGGTAAACCAGATATTTAGAGCGAACACATATTTTCCTACGCTAATATTGAGAGACCAAGAATACAACACAGAGCAGGAAAGGCTTCCGAATCGTCATGCCCTTCCCCTCCCCCCGTTTTTAGCGGGGTCATTTGTCTTCACTCTTCACTCTTCCCTCCCAACCCTACCTCTACTCGGCGTTACTAGAACTTATTTCATACGGTTCAGATAACAAAATGTAACACTTGTAATTAAAAGAAGCTTGTTGGATATACGTTAAGAGAAGCCCAGAATGCCCCAAAGGGTAAATTTTGTTTTTAACGTAATGGGCTTTGGAAATCCTTCGATATGGGGTAGGTGTGGGAAGGAACCTCTCCTATTAAGTGTTAAATTTATCGGAACAACGTACATCTTTGAACGTGTATGTAATTATTTCACATAGTGTAATTATTTATATATTGCAATCATGTGATAATCAATGTTGACCAACAAAAATGTCTTTTAAAACACGACTTTATTAAACGAGAATAATTTGATATACACACGTTTGTTGCAATAACTGAATCATTGACCTTTATACTCTTGTTAAACTGATATCGTTTATACAGATACTAGACTCGATTGACCCCTTGCCCTGACACATATCTCAGGACAAAAATGTAACTTTCTTTTTAAGGGGGAGGGGACCAATCGATTATCTGTAGCACACTCCTTGTCAGAATTGGGTATGTGTAGGACAACATACGACGGTCCTCATTACTTTTACCAGGACACTTGCAGGACAATGACCTTTTATTATGTGTTAGCTTTTTCTGACGACCCTCTGTCTCGTCACGTGACCTATCAATCATCATTTGGACCGCTGAGGGGACTATTGGACCGAAATAAAACAAAAAGGAGCAGTTCTCGAATAAGTGTGTAGCGAGGGTACGCCCCACTGCAAGCACGGTACCTGGTATTGCTGAGCCGAGCAGTATTATAACGTCAGACCTACCGGGTATGATGGATGGAAACCCGAGGTGTACCGGATAAACAGTAACACAATACAAAAATGGAACGTTTGTTGTGTAGTTTGAACTGACTATGATAAATATCAACTTGTGGTCCGGGCGTTGTTTGACTCGACAGTTGTCACTAGCGGTAACATTAGTACTTTTGTGAGAAATGTTGTTTCAGGGTAAACTCCGTACTTCAGTACGTACGCTATATGCGTATCTTGTAGAGAAAACTTTTGGAGTTAATATTTTCTTAACAGAAAAAATCAATAAAACATTATGGTGGATAATCTATAAATAGGTAATATCCGCGTGCTATGTATTACCTTTACAGTACGAATATCAATTAGATTCGCATTTGGCCACATAGCAGATATTTGTAGAAAACAGTATTTAGCAGAGAGGGATTTTCCATACTTAAATAACCATCTATACGATATAATTAGGAATGCCGTTAACTAATGAAAACTATCTGTGTTGCGTGCAACCACAATACACTGACGTGACGTCAAACTACAGGGCCAGTTAAACATTAATTTGTGAAAGTAAGACGGCCCGATACACGCCCGAAATCTCAAAATAAAAAGTCGGTTCCTTTCCATTTATCTCACGGGCTCTGATTAACAGCCGTTACAGCTGAACAAATGCTTGTCGTACTAGACACAGTAAACTAGAGTTAGAAATCTAGGCATCTCGTACGTTTTCCTTGCTTGACGGGACAACACTCATCACACACATGCATGAAGACTGACAGTTTCAGGAACCTCTGGAAAAAAAGCAGCAACTTGGATTAAAGTTATTTTTTGTTACAGCTTTCTATGGCTGTTACGACAGAGACACTCTCCAAGATGTGTCGAGAAACTCCACAACATTTCTTATCATCACCGTAACCAACAGGACACAAACACAAGTATTGTTAGGCCATACCGTTTCTGTCTACAGCATCTCTCCAATATCTCTCCTACTTTCACGGGGTGTGTTCTGTAATGAAAATACGAAACTAACGTTTACACCTAGAGCTCTACATCCTGTCTCTAAGTAACATGTTTTTTCAGTCGACCAATGTTGTAAGGATTTCCTAGGTGAAACATTGAATGTCTGTAATTGTAGCTGAGGCAGCAATACTTGAAAGAAAGTGTATGATTGTGTTACCAATTGGTCACAATACAGTGCTGTAATACTAAATAAATAATTACATACTATTTATGATGTTTTGACCACGAGTCAGTGGCACTTGGTTCCAACACAGAGGCACAGCATGTGATTCGTTCCTAGACAGTGACCTCCTCATTTGATTTGAAGTTGCAAAATTCACAAACAAACAAATTTAAGTTTTAAATGCGCAATGCTTTGATCATTGCTACATATAACATGCAAGAGCGGTCATATTAGTAAAAGCACTAATTTCATCTCCCATACGGTCTATTTTTAACTAGAACCTTAGACATATGTTTTAAACATGACTGTTGACCTCTGTCTGCAGTACGTTAGAGCAATGACGTCACTCTGGTAAAACGATGCATGCTTTACAAACGTTTGATTGGTGCTTGTTGGATGAAGTGTAAAAGCATGAAAGAGCTCTCATTAGGACCCAAGTACTACCCAATTACGTTTCCCGCATCAAACAAATGAAACGAATTTGTTATTTATTAGCTTTCTATTGCATTACAATTTACGTAATATAAATATGTATATATGCCTAGTTTACGTTAGACGTGTGAATGGCATTTACACAATCAACAAAGTTACGCCCTCTCGTAAAACAATCCTTCACGTTACTGCTGTCTAGTGTGATCCACCGGCCGTGTCTGTCATATAGTTCAGGAATGCACGACGGCGCCTGCACCAGGCGTGCACGTGGAGACCCAGAGAATGTGTAGAACGTAATTGCATTGTTGTGTAGTAATGAGGTGGCTATCTTCGATGTACATTCACGAACCGTATATTCTTCGTATGTCTCCCGTAATACTGTTGGATGTTAACCATCTTGGAAACATTATAACGTAAGGTGAAATATTATTGATTACATTGTACGTAATAAATATATTAATGATAAATGCAAACTTTGTAATATGTCATTGGACAATATGCTATCTCCTTGGTTTAATTGGATCGATGTTTTATTTTGTTATGTTCATTAGTGAGCCTTCTAGGTTTCTTGTCAAACCCCGGTTGTTCGTAACAAGGATCTGACATGGCTTTGGATTTGACTCAGATTAACATGGGACATGGCGGGTATCGTCGATGAAACAAAGCACAGTAAACCTTCTGGAACACTAGGGTATGTATTCATGAAACTATTTTCATGCTCAAACTCAAACTCTGTGCTCAAATCCAATGTCTTATTGCAGTCATAAATTTAAAAAAATGCTGATTTTGAATAATTTTGATGAGACTTCAAGCCGAATACTGTTTTAAATGTTTACTTTTCTTTCTTTTTAGCGAGTCGTATGAGTTTAGCGAGTTACAAGAACGCGACTGCTTAAATAAATGTGTATGTACATGGGGAAGCAGTAATTTATTCCTGATAGATTTCGGATAATTGAAAAACAAGGTGTAAAACTTAAGTGGTTTTAAGTCTATCCCCAAGTATACATATACGGCGTGTTTCATGACCATCGGATAAGCTGAAGGTAAACGTAATGTGACAAGTGGGTGAGCTCGAGAGACGTGTACCGTTAGCGTTTGTTTGTAAGTTGATATATGTGTCCTTGTAATGTCAGAATGAAACGTTACATGCAGACGATCTGATTGTATTTGGGAACTGGTTAGGATTTATGTCATATTTGCCGACCTGCTACGGGTATGATCCCGAAGTCCTAGGCCTGGTTTGTAGTTGGTATCTTACCCGGCAACCACCTGCAGATTTATCAAATCAAATTTCTATTACATAATATTGACATGCAAGTATATTAAGGCGACCCTTAACTTATTGCTACGCATGGGTGTTATTCGAAGATGTGTAACGGTTTGTTTAACTTTTGTTATTAGTTTAAAAAAAAATCATTGTAATGAAGCAGACGTTACACATAGCAAGTACAAGGTAGAGTAAAGGACAATCAGTACGATACATACAATATATAGTTAACGGAATATATGTGTAGGTAGCATGAGCAAAACACTTTGATTGTCCAACATGTGTTCCAGTGCAATCTACTATCACACTTACTTGTTCGGGGAGTCGACGTATACACCTGCGATGACAGAGTCCCCTAACCCGTTTCTGATAAGTAGCGAGTGACTTCAGAGCTGTAGGAATACCTCTGTTTACAGGCTAAAGTTCTAGGAATACTTTCTGTATACAGGCTGCAGTTCTAGGAATACTTTCTGTATACAGGCTGTAGTTCTAGGAATATTTTCTGTATACAGGCTAAAGTTCTAGGAATACTTTCTGTATACATGCTGTAGTTAAAGGAATACTTCTGTATACAGGCTGAAGTTCTAGGAATACTTTCTGTATACAGGGTGTAGTTCTATGAATACTTCCTGTATACAGGCTGTAGTTCTAGGAAAACTCTCTGTATACAGGCTGTAGTTCTAGGAATACTTTCTGTATACAGGCTGTAGTTCTAGGAATACTCTCTCTATACAGGCTGTAGTTCTAGGAATACTTTCTGTATACAGGCTGTAGTTCTATGAATACTTCCTGTTTACAGGCTGAAGTTCTAGGAATACTTTCTGTATACAGGCTGTAGTTCTATGAATACTTTCTGTATATAGGCTGAAGTTCTAGGAATACTTCCTGTATACAGGCTGTAGTTCTAGGAATATTTTCTGTATACAGGCTAAAGTTCTAGGAATACTCTCTGTATACATGCTGTAGTTCTAGGAATACTTTCTGTATACAGGCTGTAGTTCTAGGAATATTTTCTGTATAAAGGCTAAAGTTCTAGGAATACTCTCTGTATACATGCTGTAGTTCTAGGAATACTTTCTGTATACAGGCTGTAGTTCAATGAATACTTTCTGTATATAGGCTGAAAGTTCTATGAATACTTTCTGTATATATGCTGAAGTTCTATGAATACTTTCTGTATATATGCTGAAGTTCTATGAATACTTTCTGTATATATGCTCAAGTTCTAGGAATACTACCTGTATACAGGCTGTAGTTCTATGAATACTCTCTGTATACAGGCTGTAGTTCTAGGAATACTTTCTGTTTACAGGCTGTAGTTCTAGGAATACTTTCTGTATATAGGCTGAAGTTCTAGGAATACTTTCTGTATACAGGCTGTAGTTCTAGAAATACTTTGTTTCTTATTCATATATATATTTTTTGTACTGTACGATGTTTTGTCACAAGGGAGGGCTGTGGAATGATGTAATTCTATTTTGAATTCCATTGTTTAGAATATCGAGAACAGATACAAATAAGCATAGGATTTTTTTTATTGAGACAATTTCCGGTTGCTGTTGTTGCCCTTTTGTGTGGTTCCATTTAGAAACCCGCTAGTGTAAATCTATTGTCAGACAGTATTTCCGTTTGTTTGTCCTATACTTGTCATTGTTTATGCAACATTTTGTAGAAACATCTGATGTAACACTCAGTAACCGCCATACTTTTGATGTAATACCATGTGCCGAACTATTTAAGTGTCATCATATTACGACGGGAAGATATCTAAAGGAAATGCTTGTTCCTGAGCTAAGTGCTATATGATTGCGAAATTAATAATTATTTTGTATGGCCTTGCTTTTTTAGATTTCTATATCCATTGTCCTGTCTAACAGTGTTGGCCTTTAGGAACGTAATGCTTGCTGAATGAGTTTCTTCCTTCTCTTTTTAACGTTATTTTGACGCCAGGATTTGATATCAAGGTAAATAACGCAATGGTGAAAAGCGGTAATTTTGTTTCACTGTAGACTATAGGCAGATTAAGTGGTCACATACACCCAGTCCTTCATATTTTCGAACAAACATTGCATTAGTTGAGGATTCTTCATTTATCAATCTTTCAATCATTTTTCCTTTCTTCTCCAGAGTTGACAATTCCTTATTTTCTCACGAGCTGTTAATCGCTTTCTCTCGCGAGATATCATTCACACTTTCACACGAACTGACAATCACTCTTTCTCGCGAGCTAACAATCACTTTTCTCGCGAGCTGTTAATCGCTTTTTTCTCGCAATGTGTTAATCGCCTTTTTCGCAAGCTGTCATTCACTTTTTCTCTCACGAGCTGTCATTCACTCTTTATTCTCGCGAGCTGGCATTCGCGAGCTGGCATTCACTCTTTTTATTCTCGCGACCTGGCATTCACTCTTTCACACGACCTGACAATCACTTTTTCTCGCGAGCTGTTAAAAATCACTCTGTATACAGCACCAGCTCTCTATAGCACCAATTCAATGTACAGTACTAACTTTCCCATAGCCCTAGAATATGATATGCTTCTGGTTTATTGTTTTGAAAGAAAAACATGGCTTCTCATATAATTCCTACATACTAAACCTTTCATTGTGATATTTCTTTATATATATGTATTTGTAAATCTCTATCTCAATCTAATGTTTGACTTTCAATAAGTTATATTGGCTTCTCATATAATTCCTACATACTAAACCTTTCATGGTGATATTTCTTTATATATATATATATATATATATATAAAAAATCTCTATCACAATTTAATGTTTGAGTTTCAATAAGATATATTAAATTCATAAATGAAGAATTTGGAATTCTTGTTTCAAATTTAAATAAAAAAAAATAAAAAATAAAAAATGTTTGTTTTTGTTTACGTTGAGTTTATAATTGTTGGCATGTGATATATTACTTTTACCGAATGGTTGGCATGTGATATATTACTTTTACCGAATGGTTTGGGACCATAGGTCAGATTGATATAAATCATGGACAGCCCTACTTTTATAGTAACCATTGCTATCGACAATGTTGTTTAGGTAATAACAACCAAGTAAAAATAGGTTAACCTGTTTGTCTGTGTAATCATCCATAATTGCTGTAAATAATACACGAAGTGCCGCGGAATGCAAAAATATATTCATTGCTTTTGCTACAGTTGTTGGATGTTACACGTGAGCCGTTTACGTCACGGACAGAAAAACGTGCACGTGTTTCTCCACTCACTTAGATTGCGAGGAGTTTCATACAGGAACATTTTTTTCTCTCTCATCTGTCTGTCAAACAAATATTGCATGTCCTCTAATTCGTCAAACTTACACCCGTAACTTGACCGTCATCTATAACATCTTGACTTTTCGTTTGTTCTTCCTTGAACGTAATTTTGCGTATTTTTACATATTCGTCCTTTAATTTTATACTTTCCTTTCATCCGTTCGTACTTTATAAGTATGATTTCCCCTTGCTCATATATCCGTCCTTCAATTTTAAAAGGAGAGTGAAAGAAATTAATTTGCAGTTTATACGGAGGGACCCAAGGATCAAGACTCGCTTTAGTTACCACAAATTACAGCACACTCCTGCAATGTTATTAATACATCCTACTTTGTTCTGGACACTTATAATCATTATTTAAATTACAAATAGAAATATACAAATCGGGATAGTATATTATATATATCTTTAAGACAATTCAAGCAGACACAAGCATACCCGCCATTCAATCAGGGGAGTAGAGAGATAATGGGGAGAAACAAAAAGGAAGAAAAAAACCCCAAAAGTTTATCACCTTCTAGCCTTTAATGGCATTGCTGTCTTTTCACGACATGTGCTACATGATAATGCATAACAAGTGTGGGTAATGTAATTTTGTTTGAAAAGGTAACACAGTGATTGTTCCTCGTGTTTTTCAGTGCTCAAGGTCATAGTTAATTCAGGCTGCAACACGCATGCGTGAACGTTAATAGATACTGACTAGTAAAACAACACGTTATCAGTCACGTGTCTGTACCAACGAAAAAAACCTAGATATATGAATACCACCTATCAACAAGTGCCTTGCCCCGGATATTTATATATCTTACTATATCTAGCTAACCGAATTTTTAACATTGTTGTTTGCATGATTGTTTTGATTATCACCAATTAGACCTACGTAGCGGTTAACAAAGTTGTTTACCAAGTGTCTTGTTTGTGGTAACTTATATACAAGGTGACGTGGAATGCAGAAAAGAAACCCCTTGGCTACCATTATAGTACATCTATTGCTATGTAGCGTCACATTGAAACAGTCCTGGAAGATACGCGTAGGTCATTTACGTCAGAAACTGGTGAAAGACATTCGTAGGTGTTTCTCTAGTCACAAAGATACACTTGTAAAAATGGACCGTTCAGCATAGGAAATTTCTCCTATCTCATCCGTTCTTTATATACATACACTCAGTCTTCTCATTCGGTCGTCCTTACATAGTATCTGACCCATTAACGTAAACAAACACAAAACTATAGATAAACAAACACAAACACAAACAAACATAAAAACAAATACAGAATGTATGAACAAAACATAAACATACATATGTACAAACACAAACAAACAAAATCGACAATAACTTGCCCGTCTTTACAACAAAATAGATTTAACATATCTACGTCGGATTATTCTCAGAATTTTTCTCATCCTGGCTATTAATTTCACCAGAATATGTTGATTGCATTTTGATGAAGTTCAGTTAGATTTGAATAAAAAAAGCATGGTGGACAAAACGACGTCGTGGATGGTGAAGCTAAAGTTGTAATAGCAATATATTCTTATAAGACAGACGTGGTTAAATTCTTATTAGATTAACGTCATTTAAACAATAACTGGTTGTCTGGATGTAATTATATCAACAATAATTACATCCAGACAAGCAGGTATTGTTTATATTTACATATATGTTTTTTTTAAGACATATTCCTACAAAAAACATTTGCCCTGCCTCAAAATACATTTCAGGCGGCCATTTTGTTTGTTTACATATTCCTACACCTGAAACAGGCAGTTGTAATTATAGTCGAGTAGTTGTAATTATAGCTTATATAATTACACTTGCCCACTAACACTGTTGTTATGGGACGGCGCGGAAGCAATTGTAAATATATTGTTATAAACAGACGTTATATTGTAATAACACTGTCGTTAGATATTGTCAGCCTACCGCATTACGTCCCTTTGACGCGCCTCAAACACCACCACACTTGTGACAAAAGTTGCTGACGCGCGCAAGGTAGTTCCGGTATAACCAAGGTTCAGCGTCTACGTTGTGAGGGTGTCGACATCTTCATTGTGTCAATCTATAAATCTCGTTTTGATGACATATGATGATATCGGACCATCATAACGCGGGATTGCCATTCAATATCAAAGATTTCATGATGATCGAGCAGATAACTTTGACGATAAAGGTAAACTTCCTTATTCTATGAGGAAAGCTTCCACATTAAATTTCATTCTGTGAAATAAGCCTGTCTTTATATCAAGGTGCAAGTGTAACGTTATGGACACTATCCAGATACGTTTTTTCAGCAAAACAAAAACACTTTACTCCCACCGAGACTATTCTGCAAGAAACCCATGAATTTTATGTTATTGTCGTCAGATAACCAACAATTTTTCACCTCTTACAAAGTTACATATTTGTGTATATTGGCAGGTTTTTTTCGGGAATTTCATAAGTATATTTTGAATGATCGCACCTTTTTAAGAGAGAGAGAGAGAGAGAGAGAGAGGGGAGAAAGGGGGGGGGGGGAAAAAAAAAAAAAAAAAAGGGTTTACNTAAAAATGGTTTACCATTTACTGTCACAAGATAAGGAGATTATAGACTACATTTGTTAACAACAATTATTAAAATGTGTTCTCTTTTTTTAATAATTTGATAAAACATACAATTGTAATCCCAGTCAAAGTAAAATCATGCATAAGTTAACAAATCTAATTTTAGAATACTTTCACCTGTGTCTGACCCAATGATTACTACATGAAAATCAGACACTACTTTAGAGATTAGAATTATTTCTTGATATACTTTTAATTCCCTTTGTGAAAAACCCAACATCATGATAAATCCCTTTATATGGTTTCAAATTCTATCATTGTCAAGGGAGGAAAAAGATATTGTTTACTGTGCTCCAACTCTCCAGGAAAAAAATGTGAGGATGGTACAACTATAAAACCTCATTGCAATTCATCAGGTGACAGTGCTGATTAAAAAAACCCAAGATGATTGTGGATTCAAAAAATTAAACTTATGCGACCAGATACTCCAATTGGCTCAAACTCTAGACTTCGCAATTTACATTTTGAAAATAATATATGCTAACAAGGTATCTGACTACACCAAGGAAAATGGTCATTCTGAATTTGAGAACACTGAAAACATTCCCTGTGAGGATACATCATGTATATCTACTACTATTAGTTCCTTGTCTTAAAAGGAGAGGTCTGAAACACAGACTGACCCTATAGTTGGGGATTCTGTATATGTCTAGACATCAGATGTAAATGTAAAAGATGATGCTACACAGACACAATTCAATAACGCCAAATGTATGAAATCATCTGCATCACAGACAATTGTTCCTATTTTCAAACCAGAGATTATTGAAAACGATGATAAGACAAAATATTATACTGGTTATCCAAATTATGCAACATTTTTACTGTTTTTTTCAATACTTTTTGTAAGCATGGTGCAGAAAAGTTGACCTACTGGGAAGGGGGAAAAGAACTCCACTACCTGCAAAAGACAGAAAATATTTCCACCCAAAATTTGAGAAACCTGGGAAGAAAAGGAGCCTACGCCCAATTGATGAGTGTTGTGTTTGAAGTTGAAGCATGGTCTTCGGCAAAAAATTCTTGCAGATTTATTGAGTGTGTCTGTTATGACAGTTTGTTGGACCATAAAAACATGGATTCATTTTTTGTTTGATCACATGTAGTCACTTATCCCATGGCCATCAAGAGAACAAATTTAAGCAATTTACCTAAACATTTTACAGAAATGACTCAGGTTCGCATAGTTACAGATGCAACAGAATTCTTCTGCGAGAAACTGGGAAACATGGAGACTTAATTTCTTACATGGAGTGAACACAAACACCATAACACTTATACAGGTTTAATTGGAGTTGTACCCGATGGCCTAGTAACATTTGTGTCAAGGATTCGGGAAGGGCATACAATAAATAGACATATTGTGCAAAAAGATGGTGACCTCTTCTTACCAAAGTTAGAACCTGGAGATGTTATTCATGCAGACAAAGGCTTCACTGTTGGAGATTTACTTCCTGCACATATAGTACTAAATATGCCACCATTTGTATGATCTAGTTGTCAGATGAGTGTACAGGAGTTCTTTAAAACTCAACAAATAGCTGCTCCCAGGATTGTTGTTGAAATGAAAATGGAGTAAATCAAGAACTTCAGGATATTACAATCTGTGCTACCACTTGCTGAAGTTCATTTAGCTGAACAAACAATTATGATATGTTGTGCCATGAAAAATTTGTACGAGCTCTTACTGAGGTGAATTACACTGTCTGCAATGTCCTGTCCTTAAGATTTCTAGATTACTTCATATTACTGGATCATGTGTAAAATGTACATATAAATATACTGTACAGATATGAAACCAGTACACTACTGTAATGATTTTGTTTAACATAAATCACTTGAATATTTAAAATGGACAGATTTTCAGTTGACCCTTGACATTTAGTAATTTCAAATAATATTTTCCCTAAATCTGAAGAGTCAAAGACATTCTTAATAGAGATGTATTTGCAAACTCGAGAGTCAAAGCTCATTGTTTGGTGTACCGATGTCCTAGATGGCTCAGGTATATAATGTTAAATTAATTGTGTACAGTACATGTATGTACATTTGCATTCAATTAGACCGTGCGAATTAACTATAACAATGTTGACTTCTTTGTGATTTTTGTAATAGGTTTTGGGATGTTAAAATTTCAAAACACTTGATGGGTGTATTGTCTGTTTCAACAACTATTGGTAAAACTAATATGTATGTTTTTTTATAGAGTTAAAGTTACTAGGTATGCACAAAGGTTTGAAAAATGAAATAACTGATCAAGTATTTTCATACTTTGTTATATAGATATATTGAGAAGCAGGCCATATAAGAGAATGAATGATAATATCACAATTTTGATTTAATACGTTTTAGAAGTCAAAATTGAAAATGAAAATAGTTAAGCATCAATATTGAAGAACTGGACATATTTAAAAAAAAGAATTTTTGTCAAATGTTTATTTGAAAACAAGAAAACCTAAATGCATGTGTAACTCAGGTAGTTTCAGATATTGACAAACCGTTGTTTAATATTATTAGAGGGACACAGAACTTTGTATGTAATAACTTATGAATAACTTTTTCCTTATCATGTGCGATAGTCATATAAGGTATAGTGTTATTGTGTGTTATGACATGTGTAAAAAGTGTATAAATAACATCCATGATAGATTTTCATTTCACCAAATACATTTTAGAATATGAGTCAAGATATCTATAATCAAACTGTATCGTAGATAATTTCATTTCAAGATATTTATTATTTTTCATTCCGGACTCGGGGACCGCCCGCTTTTTTTGTGCTTTAGGCTCCGCCTTACTCACGTTTCCTATTGCTTCCGGTCTACCATCTTCATGGATGGAACTGTAAACACTGAACTGGTTTAATCTGTTTAAGATATAATCTTGTCAATGCGTAAGTGTTTCACGTATTATTCGTATATTTAGTATGTGCAGATCATTTTGAACGTTGCGTTAACACTTGAATATACGATGTAGAGTGTCACACGGCTTCCTTTTATTCGAATGTTGTTTACTCATTGTTGCTAATTTACGATAACATATATAGGAGGACCGTACTTGGTCATTTATTATGGCTGTTTATTTGTATTTGTTGTAGGTTGAAACTGAATAAACGTTTTACAACCTGACGAGTGAATTCATTTATGAGTTGACAATACACAAACTTAATTATGTTTTTATTCATTTAGTCATATTGATGTTATTTATTAGATATTTGATTACTGGACTCTTTCTTTTGTGTGACTTGGCCTACTTTTTGAGAACCAACTACATCTCTTAGAGAAGTTAGTGAGCTCATCAAAATGGATAATTTTATATTAAAGACAACTATGTTAACTGTGTGCATATTTCAAAGTTGATATGTGTATTTACTTGTACGTCACTATATGTTATGAATTGAGTTTAGACATCAATAAATACATGTATACACTTGACAAGTTGTACTTAGTTCAGATGTTTGAATGGAAAGAAAAGTGGACGACTCCTCTGGAACTCGTATGGCTGAACTGTACTCTACAGTTAAAATCACAGTTGCCAGTTGTTAAAAGTGCATCAGCTTCTCATAATTGTTCTGAGCAAGAATTGGGATGTATAACATTTGTCTATGGATAATTACAGTGAATCACACAGTTAAATACATCTTGACACGCATATATACTTTTCTGTTCAACAGGTAGTAATGATTCAATAAATATCTATTAACCTGGATATCAAAATATTTTCTTTCTCAGATCACAGTTTATTCTTTTACAAATGACTAAAATACACACACTTTACTGTCACAGTACATATAAACAAATATGTATGTTTAAAACTAAAAAATACCCCAAATTCACTTATTATTATAGCTTTATGCTGTGTAACCCATATCAGTTAAGCATAATATTTGTAACTAACCTCTGTGCTTTGTTACCCCCCTCCCCGCTCTCTCTCAAGTAAAAGTGCTAGAAGACCTTTAATTTGACTTCAGTATCCACGGTTATGTGCGTCGCCGACAAACACTATAGTACAGGTGTGTCACTTATGATTACGTAATAGGAAGATCACTCAGACACAGAACATATCCCTATGCCTTGGAGTAGAGGAATCCATTTCCCAAGTCGGTGTTTAGACAGTTAACTTACAGCACAGGGGTTCATTACAAATGTCTAAATACACATATGCTACTGATATGGATAACAACACAAAGTTTATGTGTGGTATGACCCATATCAGTACAGCATGACATATGTGTATTTCAGACATTTGTAACGAACCCCTGTGGTTACTGTACTGTACAGCAGGAGATTTTCTCAAAAAAAATGTTGACAGAGGTATCAAAACGATTATATGTCTACTTATACAAAGCGAATATATGCAACACAACACATTTAACCATATACACACAAACACCTACATGATGATAATTTAAACATAAACGTTATTAACAGTCACGCAATATTCGGATTGTTTACATTGGAGCTCAAACCGGAACTATCGTTGACAGACAAATTTAACGTCTTATTGTAATAAAAAAGATGTCATACTGTAATAAAACTGTCGTTAAATTTTGATTAAATTAACGTCATTTTGTAATAGAAAGATGTTATACTGTAATAAAACTGTCGTTAACTGTTAATTGAATTAATTAAATTAACGTTATATTGTTATAAAACTGACATTATATTGTAGTTAAACGAACTTTTTATTATAATAAAACTTATAAAACTGATGTAATACTGTAATAAAAAGACGTTGCATTGTAATAAAACTGACGTAATACTATAATAAAAAAGACGCTGCATTGTAATTAAACTGACGCTACGTACGACCACATGACAAACCAATGATCACACCTTTTATCTGTGCCTCAACATAACAAATAATAACCACTTTAAAGCAAGCAAACTATGCACATTACTAAACGCTGAACCAAAACAATTTTTACTTTGGAAAAAAGTGACAAATGTGACAATCCAGTGATAAAATTATGCCTAGACAAGGCGTTTCTCAACTTAAATTTGAGTGAAATACAGATTGTTATGAGCTTCCCAAATCTGAATGACTCGCTTCAAAAAATATTTTTTACTTAAAAATCTACATTTCATTTGTAACAGGTGTATTGCAAGATCTACAGGGCAGCTTCCAAGATATGGTTATCACTAAGCTCACAAGACATTATAAATGTACAAGTGTTCCCTCCGGATCAATTAGAGACGATATGGTGCAGGAGGAAGAAAAACTGACGCACCAATCGTTTCAATAGTCATTTATTATGGAATGATAAATTTCTGATATGGGATTTGATAAAGTTTCGAAAATTTCAACATCTTGTGTCCATTACCACGACATAGCGACATGCATACCTACAGCCTTGTTATATGTAGTATCCCAGCAGAAATAACAGTTAGAATATTAATTGTGACCTCTGTTCCCAGGGCAACGATTGTGATTTCGAACACCTGAATGGGAACTTAAAAAAAAATCGAGAAGAGAGAACCTTCTAACAACTGGAGGTCTTGAGGGCATTTAGCAACCTTATGAGACACCCAAACTATGAATGTCTCAATCAACTCATTCTTGATAACTGATGACACATTATTTACAAGGGATGATAAGAGCTATGTGATTGTTTTGTGATTAGAAGTTCCCATGTTTATCTCCTACAATAATTGGACTTAAATGATCTCCAATACTTATCCAGGCATCTCTGCAACAGGACGATCAACTCAGCCGGTCTCGGCCGTTTTTACGTGCAAAGGGCACTAACTCTCCCTTGCAGACAACAACTATGAATGTTATACTATTTTTTTTTATTAAGGTAATAGGTTTGTGTCACCATTTCTAGGTTGAATTTCTTCAAATTTTGTAGTTATGTTGCTTTGAAGCAAAGAACATGTTCTGCCACAAAAGATATAGGTTGTCAGAATTTTAAGGATTTTAAATGGAAATGTATGTAAAAAGGAGTGAATTTTGATGTAAAAAATGAAAGACGCAATTATTTTGCAAAATAAGGTTAATAAAAATTATACTGCCATAGATTAGTATTGTATTAATGTATATCAATTTAATAAATGTTGAAATTGTGTAAAATAATTTATCTATAAACGATTAAAAATTGTCATTTTATAATAAAACCATATACACATATAGTAATGCATGTAAGAGTTATCTTTCTTGAAAAACTTCACAGTAGTGAAAAGATAGCCGGTTTCCTGAAGTACAGAAAAATGGACATATGTGACTCATTGATAAAAAATAACCGAATTAATACCTGGGTTGCTTTCAAATACTTTAATATTGAGAGAACACACTGTTCTGTCAATAACAAACATACAATATTCATCAGTTTAAGATTAAACTGTCTCCCTACATCCTATTTCCGTTTATCAATAAACTCATTCGACCTTAAATATGTTTCATGAAAAATTAGTTCAACAACTTTTTCTCTGAAAGTAATGTAGTTTTATCTGCTAGCACGGCGAACTGCATCCGTATATTTATGTTTAGAAGTCGCCTTCATAGTCAGAAGACAGGCAACATCTTTGAATTGATGCTTATAAAACACCGGTGCATTCAGGTATTTGCTGGTGAAGAGGTAACATATCTTTACCCAACTAGTGAAAAGATAGCTGACACGCGTTATTATTTTGAAAACACACCATCGATTCATCACGACATCGATTTAGTCACATTTTTCATACCGTGATGATGGTGCGGTGCACTGGATTCGTCATTACAATTTATTTTCACGGTAGAAAAATATCAGAGAAATAAAATCAATCATACCTGTATGAAATCTCAGCCCTCAAGATCAGTGTTTTTTAAGTTTACATGTAGCACGAGGCTTCAAAGTCTTACCCTCGGGTTGAGATTATTCTGTCTGCACAAGCATGATGTATTCCATTAGTCTGATACTTGTTTTTATTTTGTTATGTATCTTCCCCCCTTATTTTTATACATGTTTAAGTGTTTCCCCTGACGCTCTATCTGTGTCACGTTAATTACGTTGGAAGGTTGTGTCACTCTGTCTATTCTATACGCTGTAAGTATTCCCCAAAGTGTCGGCAAACAATGGCTCTCCAGCTCAAGGTCGGTGCCAGAACTATTGAGACTGTTCCAGCTGTTAAAAACCTAGGGGTATACTTTGCTAATTCACTGAACATAGAGAAACAAGTGAACGCTATTGCCAATTTCTGTTTCTACGGATCAGGAGCATCGCCTGTATTCGGCAGTTTTTAACTGCAGATGCATGCAAGATTTTGGTGCATTCACTTGTTACCTCTCGATTGGATTATGGTAACGCCCTGCTCTGTGGTATATCTGACAAACTATCAAGTCGTCTGCAGAGGGTCCAGAACACTGCAGAACGGCAAGTTACTCGTACTTGAAAGATAGAGAGCACATCACACCTGTGCTTTATTCGTTTCACTGGTTACCCGTGCGATACAGGTCGCAGTACACTTCTGGTGTTACATACAAGGCACTGAATGGAACAGCTCCTCAGTACCTACAGCAGGAGCTTGTTACCCTGTATCAGCCGTCACGATCACTGCGGTCGGAGTCGGAATCTTTGTTGTGTGTCCCAAAATCTCGTACTGTAACCTACGGAAACAGATGCTTTGGGAGGGTTTTTGGCTACGTTGTGGAATAGCTTACCATCTGCTATAAGAAAGTCAAATACCCTGGCCAAATTCAAGAGGGACATCAAGACTCACCTCTTCAAGTCTGCATTTTAGAATCTTTGCACAGACGTCATGTACAAACCAATGGTGATTTGTCAGAAAGTTGTGGAAAAGGACCTAGAGTGACCAAATCCTCAAAAATTACTGATGCTATTTCTCGGTATTTCAGAAAATCATGTAATGAAAGTTAACTTTTTAATGTGAATTTTGATGTCATTGGCAAACCACAACTTCTTGAGACTGTCCATAGATTTAAAAATTATTTACACTTTTTTTTGTAACTTTGGCTGTATTTTTTTAATGAATCCTCATAGGTGTAAGAAGATTGAAGCTTTGATTTGAAAATAATAAAAGCGGGAGCAAATATGTTTCTATATCTTTCAACTAATCTGTAAAGTATATACTGTTAAAATTATTTAGGCAATTATCTGTTCAGAAGGTCTAAAATTGTAGAATAACTCCTT